GGTGAAACGCCCCGTTCCACGCTTGTTAATAACTCGGCGAAGCCTGCGCCCTTAGTCTCGGATGCCACTAATGCTATCGAAGAGACAGTCGACGCTCGACTCAAGCAGACGTCGTTAAACTTGGCACAGCACATCGAAGATATCTACGAGGATGTTGTTGATGTCAGAGGTCCACTGGTGATCCTGGATTGATCCTAGGGAAGGGTTGCAGGCCGTTGCCGCTGTGCCGAGTCCTGGACCTCCCAGTGTTGGGGGGTGTCAGAAGACTTGCACTGTGAGATCCTCGATTGATCCTGGGGGGTTATGGGCGCACTGACCCGCTACTTAACAAGCCCTTTTATCCCAGTGGTCTAGTGACTATGATTCTGACATGGTATCAGAGCGAAGGTCTCGGGTTCGAATCCCAGTGTGTGCACTTCGGGCATCCCAGTGCGGGGGGGTGTCAGAGGTCCATTGGTGATCCCCGTGCGGAGATAACTCTATCAACGGGAGCTAGACTACGGGCTAGGCACGGGGTAGGAGGGATCTCTGTGTTCGTTCCCTTGGTCGTTCTCTAGCACTTGTGCATTCACGGGGCAAAACCGCAAGAGTTTTACTATCAAAAAGTTCGGAACAATAAAAGGTAGCAACTAGATTGGCAAGGTAGACTATATCAGAAGCCTAGCATACAAGTCGACCACCAGCTCAGCGCAAAGGCGAATTGCCAGCTGGTCGACCTCAGGCGCCCTCAGTCGACCTGCAAGGCTGGCGTGCCAGCACACCAACAACAGGCCGCCACAAGTCACCACACGTGCTCATGTGCACGCACCTACTTCGCAGGTGCAAGGTGACGGTAACGACATGCACCGCCACGCACATTGCGCAGGTGCCAAGTCGACCACATGTCGACGGTTGCACCTGAGAAGTCCTGTTGACCACGTGCCACCGAACCGCAGGTCGACATTGCAAATCTACCTGGGCGACAATCGCGAACCTCGCAGACCTCGTCGTTCAGATAACCTGGTCAACCAGGCAACCATGTCGACCAAGTGTGTCATCCCAGGCCCGTCGACCGCTCAGGTCGATGACCACCACATGTTGACCACACTAGGTCGACCACTCCCCTGGTCGACCAACTCCAGGTCGACAACCCACCTGGTCGACCAACTCCAGGCCGACCAGTACACCTGTCAGCCGACCACACCCAGTCGGCTTCCCCTGGTCGGCGTCACCCAAGTCGACGCCCTTGCAGTGGCCCTTGTGCAGGTCGACCACGCTCGTCGACCAGCTCGCCCACTGTTGCAGGTCGGCTGCACTCCTTACACCCGACCTCGAGGTCGGCTCCGCCCAAGCGAGGACGGGGCCAACAACAACTCCCGTTGACACCCCGATTGATCCTAGGGAAGGGTTACAGGCTCGTTGTCCTAGGGGGTTATGGGCGCACAAACCCGCTACACAAACAAGCTCATTTATCCCAATGGTCTAGTGGTTGGGATTCTGACGTGGTATCAGAGCGGTCTCAGGTTTGAATCCCGGTGTATGCACATGTATGTCGTTGCCGCTGTGCTCAGTCCTGGGCCTCCCATTGTGGGGGGGTGTCAGTAGATCTGCACTGTGGATGCCCGATTGATCCTAAGGGGGTTACATGCGCGTTCGCCTGGGGGGTTATGGGCGCACAATCCCGTTACACAAACAAGCCATTTTATCCCAATGGTCTAGTGGTTGGGATTCTGACAGTTATGAAGCGCAAGTCACTGTTGTTCACTCGTTTTCCTTGGCTTCTACTAACAAAAACCACCACTGGGTTGCCTGTGTTTCAGTGCAGGGTTTGTTCAGTCCATGTTGGCGACGAAGGCAGGGGATGAAATAGCTTAGATTTTGGGTCGTTAACTATCACACATTTTTTATCAATTTATTATAACCATTTGTCAATAACTGTTATGTTACGTGTGCATATTAATACTTCACATTACACGTTACGCATACTAAAAAAATATTCATGCATAAACATATATTTAAGTTGTTTCATTACATTCATTTAAGCATGCGTGTAAAATTTATAACATGTTGATAATGTATTTTATGCATTTTACCATTGCACCATCGAACAGTAAAAATTGTCAGAATGTTATCTTATGCTCTAGCCTGTAGTGGGTCCTCTTCTTTCCTAGTGCATTCCTCTTCTTTCTTCTAAAATTTAAACATGCTATCAGAGCAGTGTCGATCCCCTTGGATCGATCCTGTGGGTGGGCTTACCACCTCCTAGCTTCCGCTGCAACTCCTACCACTACACTCGGTGCCGCACGCCCCGTGGCGTGTGGCAGTTTTCTTCCCGCCGTGCGCCCCGAGGCGCGCGGCGGTTTTCTTCCCGCCGTGCGCCCCGAGGCGCGCGGCGGTTTTCTGCCCGCCGTGCGCCCCGAGGCGCGCGGCGGTTCTCTGCCCGCTGTGCGCCCCGAGGCGCGCGGCGGGCTTCGGCCCCGTCAACCGTCGCGTCGCCCTCGGGAGGCGCCGCGACGGGCGACGGGGACCCGTTCGTCGCCCCCCGTCGCCCGTCGTGGCCTGCGCGCGGCCCGTACAGGCAGCGCGCGACCCGTACGGGCTGCGCCAGGCCCGCGCGCGACCCGTACGGGCTGCGCCAGGCCCGCGCGCCACCCGTACGGGCTGCGCCAGGCCCGCGCGCGGCCCGTACGGGCGGCGCCAGGCCCGCGCGCGGCTCAGGCCGCCTACGCGCGGTTCGGGCGACCCTACCAGGCCCGTGGTGGGCCCGCTCCTTGCTGCCCCTGCCCTCCCTACTGTCCCCCAGCGCTTCTACTCGTGCCCCACCCCTCCTACTCCCCATTCTCCTGTATTAGGGTTTGGGGGTGCGGGGTATGGGGGTGCACCCACTGTGTACTGTTCCCTGCTCCTCCTCCTCCTCCGTCTCCCTGTGCTGCAGCTGCCGCTGAGGGGGGGTGGACGTGTTGGAGCCGGTGGAGTGGTACTAAGGGGGGGTGAAGGGGGAGTGGAGCTAGCGGTGTAGCAGCGGGTATGTGCCAGGGGGGAGTGGGATAGTTTGGGGAAGCTGAATGGAGGTTGCCGTCGTGTCGCCAGCAGCACCTGTATTCCGGGGACTTCGTCCGGTAGCCCAGTCGTAGCCAGCTGTGCCAGCCGCCCGTGGGTCCGTTGCTCGTCTGCCGCTACTTTAGCCGCGGGGCCTGTTACTCCTGTATTCCGGGGACTTCGTCCGGTAGCCGCTGTGCCAGTCTGCCTCCTGTTGCCTGTGTGTCTGCAGCTTCAGCCGTCGCCTCCTATCTCCTCTCCTCTCACTCTCTCTCCTCCTCCTCACTTGCCCGTTGTGACTACCACTAGCTTTGCTCATAATTGTGAACTTAAACTATTGCTTCTTGAACTTGTGCTCAGAATGTGTGGTGACATTGTGATCCACCCTGAGCTTGTACTCCTTTGCTTACTCTGCTGATTACACCCCACTTTGGCTATGGGGGTGTGTCAGAATGTTATCTTATGCTCTAGCCTGTAGTGGGGTGCTCTATAGCGAGTACAACCCTTCTAGGGTTTCCTATTTGTATCCCCATTCTTGCTAGTGCATTCCTCTTCTTTCTTTTAAACTTTGACAAAAATATAGTGCAAATAGTAAAACATAAACTAGTACAATAAAGGAAAATCATTACCCAATAGACAGTGAACAATCTTTAGAGCTGCTCTACATGCACAGTATGGGAAGGATATTACTGTAGTTTACGAATTATGTTTTCATGTTTTATTAAAATTAAATATGAAAATAAAATTTGGCAAAATCGACCGTAAAGTGTTGCTTCGCATAGCATCCCAAAAAAATCAGATTAATTACAGGATGAATTGAGCTGTATGGCAGGAAAAATATTGTGCGTGTGAACCTTTAGTCAAGTTTATAATCTGTTCATGTTCGGATTAAGTGTATTACGAACTTCTATGTACAATGCTCGTGTACAAGCGAGAGCTATCGCTACGCGTATTATAGTGGTGTCAACAAGGGGATCTGAATGTAGACTGGTTTTGACCTCCGGGTACCCCCGCTTCGTGAATTTGAATGTTTCGCTTGCGGATCGCGCTAATGGCACCCGCTCTTTACAATAACACTTGCGAGGCGCGGATTTCCCGCCAAACACCTTCCAACGTAAAGCGTTCTTCCTCAAATCCTGAATGTGTGTGTCTGTGGAAAGTGTGCATCTGGTGGTGCTGCTTCTGCTTATCCAAATAATTGGAGTGGCCCCCATTGTATCGGGTTTTTGCTGATTTGTATGGCACTTTCACAATAAGCGCTCTGCTGGATTCATCTATACTGTTGGTTTGAACAAAGCGCACATGGTAGCGCGCATCTCAGCCATCCGTGGCGCTGACGCTGGTGATCCGGCACCGCGAATTGCACTGATTCGTTCGCATTGCAGGATCCAGCGCCCTTCAGAAGCATTTGATTGGACGGCACCTGCTTTCTTGCGTTGCACAATTGTTGTGATATGCTCTGCAGCAACCTAGACAACCACAGGGATCATCCAGAATACTCTCCAACAGAGTTTTTTCAAAGGCTTTAGCAAACCAGAAGATACGCTCGACTCATCTCTAGCTTCAGTCTCACCTCAGCACTGCCTGTTGACGCTATCACTTACATCCCTTGCCTGTTGGGATTACCAGGACAATTTCAGTAAACTCGCCAACTCAAAGGCCAGATCAGCCCAGTGCCGCACATACGCCCGTAACGACAGAAGCCATGGTTCGATCAGGGTCGCTTATGCTTCCCGTGGGAATCGCGCTCGTCCTTCTCGCAGCACTCCCGTCGTGCGCGTGCGCGCGATCTGAGGCTAGCTTCAACCCTAACACAGGCGTAGCTTCCAAAGCTGGCTTTACTGTCCCCAGCTTTAAATTCAACTTCAAGTTCGACTTTCATAGGGTTTCGAACCCGCTCGTGTTCTTCGCGAAATGCGACAAGTCTTCGCTGGCGGGTTACTCCTCGTCGAAACACCTCACTAACGGGTATGTCATACGAGATGCGGAATACTAACCGAAATTGCCCCCTTTCCCCCCTTCCCCGTTTCACTCATCCCCTTTCCGCTCACCCGCTCCTCCCTTTGAGCCGGTTCTGTGTAGTGTCAAACCGTTCCCCGTCGCATTCCCCCCTCCCCATCTTCTCCTTTCCCACACACACCGTCCTCCCCTCAGTCTCACTCTCCTCCCTCTCCACTGGCAGGCTGTGACCTCGTCGATCGACCAGCTTCAACTCGCTGCGCATGTTTCCTCATCCCCATTTCCCCCGTACCGTCCTCCCCGCGGGCACACTCTGCACTGGCAAGCAGTGACCTCGTCGTTGGACCAGCTTCAACTCATCGCGCATTATTCATCCCCTCTCCCCTTCCGTCTCCCCTTCCATCCACCCCCCATCTTCCCCCGTTCCGTCCTCACTACGGCTCACGCTGCACTTTTTGAGATGCCTGCCTGTGCATTTCTCTCCTTTCTTGCCCATCTTCCATTTTTCCGTCCTCTCCGCAGGCTTACTCTGCACTGGCAGGCAGTCACCCCGTCGGGCGATCAGCTTCGGCTCCCTGCACATTGTAATCTCCTCCCCTCTCCTCTCCCCTTTCGTCTCCCCTCTCCCAACCCCCACCTCAAGCCCTTCCGTTCTCCCCGGAGGCTGACTCGGCACTGACAGGGAGTCATCTCGTCGAGGTCCCGCCTGCGAAATAATCTTCGCTCCTTTCGTCTCACCTCTCATCCTCTCCCCCACCTCCCCCCTTTACGCCCTCCCCGCAGGCTGACGCTGGACTGGTAGGCAGTCACCCAGTCGGGCGATCAGCTGCAGCTGGCCCTCGTGGCGAAGAAAGGCACTCCGGCGGCCGCGAGCTGGTCTCGCCTCTCATCCTCTCCCCCATCTTCTTCCATATTGCCCCCCACCCCACAGGCTCACATTGCACTGGCAGGCAGTCACCCAGTCGGGCGATCAGCTGCAGCTGGCCCTCGAGGCGAAGAAAGGCACTCCGGCGGCCGCGAGCTGGTTCGCCGTGGGGTGGTCGCAGAGCGGCAAGATGGGCGGCAGCAATGTGATTGTAATGGAGGATGTTGGCTCGGCTCCGGGCGAATACGATCTCGAAAGTGATCCCTTATACACGGCGAAGGCCGTCGATGCTTCGTGGTCGGCGAGCTCGTCGAGTGTTACGGAGAGTGACAAATCTGTTGTACTACAGTAAGTTTAGTTGGAGGTACAGGTACTGCACGCTTCTTGAGGTTCTTGTATCGCGTATACCGAGAACGACCTCGCGAGCGACGCCGTGTACACGGCGAAGGCCGTCGCTGCTTTGTGGTCTGCGAGCTCGTCAAGTTTTACGGAAAATTACAATCAGTTTGAGGCACAGGTGCTGCATTCCGTAAAGGCGTTTGTATCGCGTATAGCAAATATGACCTCCCGAGCGCTTCGTGTTACAGCAACATGCAATATTTCTGGAGGCAGCTCTTTTTGTTTTATTATTAAAACCCCTGCCCGAACCCCCCCTGCGTGTATTCGTCGCATGACAGATTCTCGCGTGGAATAAGCGAACCTGGGAGTGTCCCTGTGAAGCGATCGGGTTACAGTAACATGATTTGGGCGTATGGCGCGGGGATTTGGGAGTCGGATGGAGGTCACGACGCCAAGTGAGTGTGGGTGGGGGTTGTTTGAGCAAGAGGGTGAAATAAGCAACTCGCTGAAAGACAAGCCTCTTTGAGCACGAATGAAGCCCTCAGGTTACAGCGACATGATTTGGGCAACATGATTTCGGCTTTATGGACCGGAACATGATGCCAAGTGCTTTGGGGGTTACAGGGATGGGTGTTTCTAACCAGGAGTGGAATGTTCACTTTCTTTCTACGTCGGTCTCTCTGGGTTGTGAATAACAGTACCCTGTCCACTACTGGCCTCTCCATGCAATGGCTACACAGGTAGCTTGGTTGTGGTCAGTGCTGTCAATGTGTCTCTTTATTCTGGCCAGATTTGTTCTCCCCGTGTTGTGATTCATGCTCAGTGGAATATAAGAGAAACCAGCAGGTTCATTGAGTCTCTTGATCCATCCTCTCTATTCCCTCTGTCATCCCTTACAATTGCTGATGTTTTACTCATTTATTCCCAAACTATTTCCCCTTACCCACAATTGCAGGGGTGCCACTGTAGTTGACTTCTCATGTAACGGTTGCAAGGGAGTCTTGCGGAATCGTTGCTGATGACTCACTAATGCGCAATTCTTCTAGAGCTTAGAGTTGTAGACTCCTTGCAGCCAGTCTGTTAACATCTACGGTACAGAATAGAGAAGTTAGTTAGTAAAAACCGGTGCCATTCTCTGGCCGTCCATCCACTATCAAGCTGATGCACTCAACGAAGCATGCATAAAAATAAAGATAGTGCAATATTTGGATGTATACAGTAACTAACAGCTGAAAGCAGTGGTTGTAAATTGCTTAACATCAACTTAGATACACATGTCTCATTAAACTCGGAACAGTTAATCCACAAACAGTCTCCTCCACTTGTTCAGGTCCCCAGTCTCTCCACCATCCCACACTGCTGCTCCTATCCCCCTCTCCCACATCCATTCACCTCCCCAACCCCAGTGTAGTACAATAGAACCCTGCCACTCCCCACTTCTCCCTCACTCCCCTCCTCCCCTCCTCCCTCACACTTCCCCTCCCTGGCTTCCTCACTACCTCCCTCCACTCCTCCCTCACCCATCACTACCAGGTGTGGAGTCCCAACGAGCAGGTTGTCCCAAACCTCTTCTCCGAACCTTGGCTGGAGGATCGGGCCACCAGGTTCGGGCCCAACATGCTGGGCCTTCTCCCACGTCTCCCCACCATCCGCAGAGTAAGCTAGCCCGATTGAGTACGTCCCATTATAACGCGCCCCTTCATAAAACATAAGCAGTACTGGCGGGATACTGCCTTCACCTGCAGCACAGATATCCTCTTTCTGCCCCCCCGGCTGCTCTTTCTGCTCCTGCTGCTCCATGTGCTCCTTCTGTCCCCTCAGCTCCTCCTCCCATTTCCGAACGGCCTTTGGGCCAAAAGAAGCCAAGGGCACCACATGGCGACGGTTGGCCCCTGCCTCGTCCCATGCTCCCAAGGGCCCTCTGCGGATACAGGACCCCTTCTTAGTCCTGGCAGGTAGGACGAGAGGGAGGGAGAAAACACCAAGGGAGCATGAGATGGCGACGGTTGGCCCCTGCTTCGTCCCATGCCCCCAAGAGCCCTCTACGGATACAGAAGCCCTTCTTAGTCCTGGCATGGTCACGGCATGCCATGGTCACGGCATGGCATGGTCACGGCATGGCATGGTCAGGGCATGGCATGGTCAGGGCATGGTCAGGGCTTGGCAGGGCATGACAGGGGCATGGCTGGAAGCAAGTACCTCGGTGATTGAAGCATGGTAAGTACCCATCCTTACCATGTCTTTGTGCTCGGATCAAAGGCAGCTGAGCCAATGGTGTAGCAGTACTGAGGGAGCGACTCTGGTACTTGGTCCACCTCCCCGTCCTCCCCCATGTAAGCATGGCCAGGGGCGTGTGGGTCGCCCACGGATTGGTACGTCAGCAGCCAATCAGCATCCGCCATCTCAGCGAACGATGGCAGAACTGCGTCTTTGGCCGTCGCTCTTTCTGTTTCCCCTCCTCCTCCCTCTTTCCCAACTGCTCCCTCACTTGTCTTGCCTTTCCAGTTAGACCCATTATGAGGTACCCCAGTAAAAGCTCCTGTGTTGCTGTGCAGACGTGGCCAGGAAACTGCCAGCTCATCCCAGCTGCCCACGTCACCCACGTCCAGGAAAGGAGCCTTTGCTCGCTGCCACCTCACCCCATCTGTTGACGTGGCAACGCCACAATGCATGCGTGCACCCAGTGCCGTCTTGCCAGCTGGCCAGGCCGGGAAACGACCTGGGTCCAAACCACCTGACAGGGATACAAGGGGAAAGAGAATGGGGAGGGGACAGGAGGGGGAGTGCGGGAGCGGGAAGTGGGGGGAGTGCGGGAGCGGGAAGTGGGGGGAGTGACAGGTATGGTGTATTGGTAGAGATGTGGGATCCACCGGCTGTTTGAGAATTCTCAAAAACCGCCTGCATCAACGGGGATGGGGAGGGCGGTAGGTATGGTATAATGGTAGAGGAGTGTGATCCACAAGATGTCTTTCCAGCCGGCCGGGAGGGGAAACGACCCGGGTCCAAACCAACTGTGGGAGTAAGGGAATACAAGGAGGAAAGAGAGGGGAAAAGGGGGAGAGGGGAGGAGTGACAGGCATGGTGTAATGGTAGAGGGGTGTGATTTACAAGCAGGTTTGATTCACAACAGAATCATTCGGCTCAGCACACCTTCTTCATGTAATCACACCTGTGTCATTATAAGCACACGCACATGCACGCACCTGCATAGTAGAGCATGAGCCACGTGCCATCGGGCAGCAGCAACACGTCACTGCACCCCACATGCACACTGTCAAAGGCTGACGGGTCATCCGAGGGGTCGAACACGGCACCACCAGGTAAAGGCCCGTGGTACCTGGATTGGAGAGTGTTGAGAAACATGAGTTAGCGATGTGCAGCAGGACCTGTCACCTTTCCAGCTTTTGAGACTCCCAAACGATAGTGCAGAATTTTTTTAGCTGATGAAATTGGATCGTCGAGTTGGATGAAAGATTGATTTTGTGCCAACTCACCAGACCTACCTCCCCCATAGTCAACACACTCACTCTCTCCCATGTGACCCCCTTGCTGCTGACAGCCATCCTGAGTCCTGACTTAACAGAACAGACCTATCTCTGAATTTCATAATAAACACGAGTTTTGAGTACACATATGTCAAACGAACACCCCCCTCTCCCACGTGATCCCATCGCTGCTGACAGCCAAGCCCACTCGCCCAAACGGAGTGCCTGGCTGCGCACATACCCCCATGCCCCACTCCTCTGTGTCCTTCCCTCCCATGATGGTGCATCCACCATGCCTTTCGCCCACCCATTCCACATGGACTCTGTTTTTGTGGCACGTATAAAAAGACACCTTCCCAAAATCACACTCACACACACACCCACCCCTCCCATAATCACCCACACCCACCTCTCCCACGTGATCCCATCGCTGCTGACAGCCAAGCCCACTCGCCCAAACGGAGTGCCTGGCTGCGCACACACGCCCTTGCCCCACTCCTCTGTGTCCCTCCCATGGTAATACATCCGCCATGCCTTGCCGCCCACCAGAGCCGCCTGCTCAGGCCCGGTCCGAACCACAAGAGGCCCGGCGAAGAGCAGCGCATCCCACCAGTGCTGGTCCGCAGGCGGAGGGCCTAGAAGCCTGCCTCGGAAGGGGTCTGGGAGCGAACCCAAAGGAGGGGATAGCGATGCTGACGTGGCAGCACGACAGGTCAGCATGGGATGGTTGGCTCTTCTTGCCGAATGAGAGACAGACGCCGGGCTGACGAAAGGGCTGTTTCTCATTGAGGTTGGCGAAACGCCAGGAGGAATCATGCTACGGGGTGCTGCGATGCTGGCGAGGAATCTGCCGAGGAACCTGGGAGAGTGAGCGTGCTGACGAGGATAATGGTTCTTAGAAGGAAAGCGGACGACGGGCCGGGACTGGCAGCGAGATGGAAAACAATAGTGGAATTGGTTAGTCTGCTGCTGCTGCTGGTGCTGGTGGTTTCGAGTTGCTGTGGCGATCGGCAACGAGGGAGGGATTGACGAGAGCAAAGACGCCATAGCAGCGGTGGAGCCGAAACCGAGTGAATGTGTAAATTAGGTTGAGATGGACACAACCCGTTGTTAGGCATACTTCGGAAGTGCGATGCGAGAGTCAAGTTTCCTTCGCTTCCGAGTTGACGCGCTGTGACGTCATCTCGCGGCGGCACGTTGGTACGTTCGAGGGGCAGGGAGACTACGACTTGCCGCTGGTATTCTTTCACTGGAATGATAAGAGTTTAGAGAGGGGCATTCCAAACATAATTGGAGCCTTCTTTAGGCCTTCCCGATACAGGGACAGCCGCTGCCGAGGCCCGACCCATGCTGGATGGAAGCGTCTCGCGTCTTTCCGCGAGGCACGTCGGGCGAATGACGAGACAGTTTGGACGTGCCACGTGGAAGAACAATGGTACGAGCCATCCTGGCTTTGATAATTCCGACGAAGGATGAAATCCATACATGACTTGAAAGCCTGACTCCATGGCAGTAATATCTATCCAATGACCAGTCTTATCATGTGTGACTACGTAGCTTCTAACTGGACAGGAGACCTCGTGCCGCGACGTTCTTCTAAGTTGATAATGATGTTCCGTCCCTTCTGTCGTCGTCTGTCACAATACAATTCCAAAAGCCAGACTGTTCGCGAAAACATATTCCATTGATCAGCGAACCAAATGTTCAAACAGGGTGTCAATTGGTTTCGCCCTCGCAACACATTCCGGATTGTGTTCGGCTTCGCAAATTTCGCGAAAGCCAGATTACTGAAACAGACCTCGAGAATGTCGATGGAAACTCACCATCGCAAGCGACTTTTTCACAGGCCAGCGAACTCTCCAATTGAATCATTCGCAGAAAGTAGTTCTAAACAGTATCGAGTGTTCTATTACAGTCACCTGGAAATATTGCTTTCACAGGTCGTTACTAAAATACACGACGGTTTCACGATGAACGTAGTGACGTTCGCGCTTGATAGCGCTGCTGAGTCAGATCCTCTGTCGCGTGACGAGTCCGTCAATCGTCTTGCCTGCTTGCAGCTGACGGTCACCGGTCTCGCAGTAGACATCTCGAAGCCTCTTGCCAAGCTGGAAGCCGAGGTGGATTATTTAGATCACGACAGTCGGTAATGGAATACGACATGGAAATTAACGACGTTCTTGTGATGTTATTGCACACGTGGCGTCAGTTCATTAGTCAAGAATACCTTGGTATCAGCTATTAGAATGGCTGCTACCTCGCGCAGCAGTCCAGTCAAATCAAGGGTTTCGTTTCCCACTCGCTGCGGTGTGTGTGCATTCAGGCCATTCTGGCTCCGTCGGAGTCCTTATCCACTCGGGTAATCTTCTTCCGTTGGCTGGCTTTCCTCCGCTCGGGTTTACTCCACGCTCATCGTAACACATGGCTGCTTGTCTCTCCACGAATCCCGCGTTTCTCCACCTCAACTCGACCGTTAGGCGTAACTCTCAAACGCTAACTCGCACGAGTTTTGAATTTCCGCTGTCAAAACGAACTATGGTGCGGTCCAGCGCCGACAAAACTGACGTCAAGCGCCAGCCGGCGGCCGTCAAGAGCGAGCGGCAGCTGACGGCGGAGGAGCACTGGGAGTGGCACGCGCCGCACATCCGCAACTGGCGCGGCGAGTGGAAGATCTGGAAGCCCGTGGATAGCGACGCGCTGCAGAAATCGTTCAAATCCGTCCGTTCGTTCCAATTCAAGGATGAAGAGAAGTCAGCCTTTGACCATGTGGTGAGCGATGCTGAGTGATTTATGGGTCATGAGTGATGCTTGGTGATTTAAAGCCATCCTTTATTCATGCCTTCCATCATGCATCCTATTCCCCTCTCTCACCGTTCTGTTGTGGCAGAACGACTGGTACGAGGAAAAAGGAGATTTAACCATGACTCCCTTGTCAGGGGTAACTTGGGAAATTACCCGCAAGGAGCACAGCCTGCCTGACGGCATCATGCACCCTGCCCGCCCGTCTCACCGAGTGCTGTGCGTCAATCCCAAGGGCGAGGGCGCGTGGGTGCAGCAGCAGTTCAGAGGGCCACAGGAAGGGCTTTACCTCGAGGCCTTCTTCAGCAAGGGTATGGTTTGGTATGGTGGTGTGGTATGGCATGGTATGGTTTGGTATGGTATGGTATGGTATGGTATGGTATGGTATGGTTTGGTATGGTATGGTATGGTATGGTATGGTATGGTATGGTATGGTATGGTATGGCATGGTATGATACTGCCAAATCTGCATCAACACTTCAGAGGCACCTGGAAAGTGCAGCAGCAGGTCAAGGGGCTTCATGGGAGTACTCTTCAGCAATGGCATGGTACAGACCAGCGATATGAATTGTATTGTACCTTGTATATTCTTCAGCAATGATATGTCATGCCCACATGCCACTTTCACCACCAGGCATACTCATTCCCTTTTCCCGGACATCCTTCAGCATCAATGATTACTTGGGTTCTGATTCGTCTCAAAATTATGCATGTCCGCTGCACCACTCTCGCTTACACCTTTTGGCAGCACTGACCACTAACTCCCCTCAGTTCCAATTTCAATGCTCCCTACACAACCCTGATGCTCAACTGAACGTTTTGTTTGCTTTTTTTTGTTTCTCTCACATCTTTCACCACCCTGCATAACCACTCCACTTCCTTCCACTTCGCACCACACCCTTTGGTATCTGCCCACTGACTTCACACACTTTTTGGAAGGAACCACAAACGCCTCACACTTTCCACCTTGATTGCTCCACACTCACACCCGCTCCAGGCCCAGAGGCTCAACTGAGCGTCCCATTTGGATTTGATTCCAAGGGGACCTTCCTGGCATCTATGATCGTCGAAGACCTCGCAGAGTCCAAGGATCGGCCCGAACCAACCTGGAAGAGCAAGGCCTGGCCATCGCCTGTCCCAGACGTCCTCCCTAAAGAGTTCCCCGCTTTCATCTCCACAGATCAAATCGCAGGAATCGAACAGAAGATAACTCCCAGCCTGGTAGCCTCCGAATCAATTTCCTTATGGAATGGCTATTGTGGGAAAATCGCAGATGATGATTCTGTGGAGTATATGCTCGTTGCGATTCCGCTGGGTGTGGTTCTGTGTGTACCGAAGAGTCTTGAATCGGTGGTGGGGAAGCCGTTCAGCATGTCGGCCACGTGGCATGTGAGCAGGCATGAGGTGAAGCGAGTGTTTGCTTCTTATGATGAAACGGGCAGGCTGTTGGGCCTGTCCGGGGGTGATTACACCCATTGAAGATGTGAAACTGATAGTGGGGAGGGGAAGGTAAGGTAAGCCTTTCAGTAAGTGTTAGTTACACCTTCGATTTTAGAAGGGGATTAGGGCTGTCTAGGAGTGATTACACCTGCTCAGGCCCCCAGATTCGTTTTTGGGTTGTCTGATAAGTCAGACTTGGTACAAAAAAAACTGAAATTTCAGAGTTCAAGAGTAAAAAGGTCTGATATACTAGAGTTCACATCGGTAGTGAAGCTGGTTGATCAGCCTAAAACGAGGTGATAACCGCGCTGCAACACTGCTGTCACTGTTTCAGCGAGACTGACAGGACAGAATTGTACTTCCAGCGCTAATCGTGGCTGTCAGGTCAGATTTCGCGTAGGCGTAATGAGAGTAGGTGCCCACTAAAACGCTCATGATTCAAAGTACACTCTGAGAAAAAGGCTGAAATTTCAGACAAGGCCTAGAATATTTTTCTGAATATTCAGAGTTCACAGCAAAAAAAACTCTGGACTTTCAGAGTTCACTAAGAAAAAAGGCTGAAATATCAGAGTTTTTAAGGCAAATCAGAGACATTTCTCTGACTTCTGGGGGCCTGCACCTGCTGGACGAAGATGTGATCGTGGTAGGCTGCTGGGGCTGTCTGGTGGTGATCGTACCCACTGAACAAGGATGTAATGCTCTTGTTTTAACTAGCCATGGTTGGCATGGCTGTCTGGTGATGATCGTACCCACTGAACAAGGATGTAATGCTCTTGTCTTAACTAGCCATGGTTGTCATGGATGTCTGGTGGTGATCGTACCCACTGAAGAAGGATTTAATATTTGCCAGTGTTACAATGCTAATTTTCACAATACGGATGCTAATGCTGCATAAGATAATGGGATCCTCCTCTCCTCACTATGTCTGTAGAGTCGCTCTGTCTACGTTCCACAACTTAAGAACCAATCGTGTGTGAGGTGGTAAGAATTGGAGGTGGACCGTGGAGGTGTTCACTTGTAGTGGCACCTGTAACACTGGGTGGCTTCCACCCTTACAGGAATCGTCGCTTCAGCGAGCTTGACTTCACTTCACTCTGTCTTGGTGTAGGGCACCAGGTCCAGTGTTGCATTGCCTGGGCGAGAGAACACCACCTGCACTCAACGCAACAGAGGGTTCAGATGGTTGTCATGGATGTCTGGTGGTGATCGTACCCACTGAACAAGGATGTAATGCTCTTGTTTTGACTAGCCATGGTTGTCATGGATGTCTGGTGGTGATCGTACCCACTGAAGAAGGGTTTAATATTTGCCAGTGTTACAATGCTAATTTTCACAATACGAATGCTAATGCTGCATAAGATAATGGGATCCTCCTCTCCTCACTATGTCTGTAGAGTCGCTCTGTCTACGTTCCACAACTTAAGAACCAATCGCGTGTGAGGTGGTAAGAATTGGAGGTGGACCGTGGAGGTGTTCACTTGTAGTGGCACCTGTAACACTGGGTGGCTTCCACCCTTACAGGAATCGTCACTTCAGCGAGCTTGACTTCACTTCACCCTGTCTTGGTGTAGGGCACCAGGTCCAGTGTTGCATTGCCTGGGCGAGAGAACACCACCTGCACTCAACGCAACAGAGGGTTGAGATGGTTGTTGGGATGTGGACATGGAAGGAAACCAAGTGCAAGATTAACAAAAAAGGGGAAAAAGTACGACAGAAACAAAAACAGATCTACGTTCCTGAGTCCTCTTCCATTTGCCAGGTCAGCAGCAGTTGTTCACATATCACCTGAGTTTTCACCTGAAGAAGTCTCAGAGGTTTCATATGACTTCGCTAACCACAATCAAACCTTCCTGAAATCGCCTAACCTTTCTGAAAACACCTGAACCTCCTTGAACCTCCCTGAATTTACCTGAACCTCCCCGTGATTACTTGAACCTCCCTGAATTCACCTGAATATCTCCGAGTGTGCGAGTTTGGAAGCCCACAGCGCAGTAGACAAAGTAGTACTGCCACGTGCGGATGAACTTGGGACCGAACCCCATCTCCATGATCTCACTGGGAGGAGAGTGAGGAGGAGGGGAGAGGAGGAGAGGAGAGGGGGAGAGGAGGACAGGGGGAGGGGGAAGAGGGATGTTTGACAGAGAAACGTGGAATGAGTGAGAGTGGTTCATTGAAAGAGCCACAGCGCAGTAGAGAAAGTAGTACTGCCACGTGCGGATGAACTTGGGGCCGAACCCCATCTCCATGATCTCACTGCGAGGAGGAGAGAGAAGAGAGGAGAGAGGATTGAAGAGAGGATTGGGGAGAGACGGGGGGAAATGACAAATCACTGCGTGTGCATGCATCATGTAGTTGTCGTGCCATCCTAGTGCCATCCTATGCCATCCCATCATGCCACTACCATGTCAATACCATGCGACAGCCATCCCATTGTCGAAGTCTAAACCGCCACATATGCACTGAATGTATGACCGTGTCAAAACATATAGCCTGTGCGCCATGAAGTTGCCATGCCATGTCGATGCCACCTCGATGCCATGCTATGTCCATTTCACGTCACTGCCATCTCAATGCCTTCTCAACGCCATCCCAACGCCATCCCAACGCCATCCCAGCGCCATCAAACCCTCAAGCCCTCAGCACTCACTGCCGGTGAGCCATGAAGTTGCTGTGCATGTGAGGAAGGAAGCTTGGTGCAGTGAGATCATGGCGATGGGTCTCGGACACTGCGAGGAGCCATGAGCATTGTGGCATCCCCGTGCCCTGCTCTATGCTATTCCCATCCCATGCCGTCCCATGCCATCCCATGCCATCCCATGCCAACCCATGTCATCCCATGCCATCCCACTAAATGCAAGACTGTAGCGCGACTCACTGCCTGTGAGCCATGAAGTTGTCGTGCCATCTCATGAGCGTCGTCGCGTAGTGCGGCCCAATGTTCTCCAGCTCCTCCACACTGTTGTAAATGAGAGGGGGGAGAGCGGGAGAGGGGAGAGGGTAAAAGGCATGGGTATCACCATCTCATGAGCGTCGTCGCGTAGTGCGGCCCAATGTTCTCCAGCTCCTCCACACTGTTGTTGATGAGAGAGGGGGGAGGGGGGAGAGAGGGGAGGGTAAATCGAATGGGTATCACCATCTCATGAGCGTCGTCGCGTAGTGCGGCCCAATGTTCTCCAGCTCCTCCACACTGTTAGTCGGTAGAGGAGGAAGAGGAAGGTGGGGGTCATGCTAAGTGGCATGCATAGCAGTGGCATAGTCATAGTGCAGTGGAATAGTGTGGCCCGATGTTGTGAACGCTCCTTCACACTGTTGTTAATGAGGATATGACAAGAGGGGAGGTGGGGAAGAAGGAGGGGGGAGATGGGTTACAATGGGCATGGGTAGAGCAGCGGTGTCATGTCTTGGCGTAGAGCGGCCCGATATTCTCCAGCTGCTTTACACCGGGCATGAGAAAAGAATGATAAAGAGAAGGGCATGGTGTGGCAAGTAATAATGGGAGGAAGGAAGCTTGGTGCAGTGTGGAGAATTAGCGGGGCTATGGAAAGAGGGGGAAAGGTATGGAAAGGAGTCTTGGGCGGACAACATTTGATGCAGTGGTGTTTTCACCTGAAGGCAGGTTTTTCACTGAACCAAAATTTTGACCTTGTTGTTTCCACCTGAAGGCGGCGTTCTGGCTCTGTTGTTCTCACCTGAAAGCAAATTATTCAGCTCTGCTGTTTTCACCTGAAGGCGGAGTTCTTGGCCATGGCGTCGGTGAGAGCAGAGAGGGAGGGCACGCAGCAGCCGGGGAAGATGTACTCCTTGATAAAGTCGGAGGACAGACGGTACTCTTCGTAGCGACTCTCTGGCGTGGTGATCACCTGATGTGGGGATGGTGCAGCATGGGAAAGGAATGAGAGGGAGAGGGAGTGGGGTGGATGGAAGAAGGTGCAAGGGACACAGCATCAGCACCAACAGCAACAGCAGCAGCAGCCAGGGAAGATTTACTCCTTGATGAAACCGGAGGACAGACGGTACTCTTCGTAGCGACTCTCTGGTGTGGTGATCCTCTGGCAGGTGGGGGGATGCGGAAGGAGAGGAAACAAGGAAGAGATGAACGTAACGCACAGCAGAAGCAGCAGCACCACCAGCAGCAGTGAGGGAGGGCACGCAGCAGCTGGAAAATTGGAGGACAAGCAGTACTCTTCATTGCAACTCTCCGGGGTGGTGATCAGCTATGGGGGGTGGGTACGGAAGGGATGGGTTCAGATGGTTTCGGATGGGCGGAATGAGAAAGTAGAGGACGCAGCAAGATGGCAAGTCGCCAAAACACTATACAATGGATGTAACCACCTGGAACTTGAAAGACACCTGAAGAACCACCTGAGGCTGAAACGCACCTGAAAAACCACCTGAGACTGAAATGCACCTGAACAACCACCTAAGACTGAAACACACCTGAACAACCACCTGAGACTGAAACGCACCTGAACAACCACCTGAGTCTGAAGCACACCCGAACAACCACCTGATTCTGGAACGCACCTGAACAACAAGCAGCCCGTCCATTGCGAGCAAGCGGTCGCAGTGTTGGAAGGGACTTTTGAGTCGACTCACAAGGCACCTTGTAACAATGGCACATGAAACCCACCTGAGCAACCACCTGAGAGCGAAACACACCTGAACAACCAGGAGTCCGTCCATTGCGAGCAAGCGGTCGCAGTGGTGGAAGAAATCGCCCAGGTACTCGTGACCCACCGCCTCTAGCATCTCACTGTGGGGGTGTGGTGAGTTGGTGTGGCAGAGAGTGGGGAGGAAAGGAGACAGGAGGTCGAAGGTTCAGGAGGATTGAAGATAGGGGAAGCTTGGAAGAAATCGCCCAGGTACTCGTGGCCCACTGCCTCTAGCATCTCACTGCGGTGGGGAATGGGGGGAGCACATCACACGAGCAATTTGAAGTGTTGAGTAGACAGATTGCGGTCAAACTTGCCGGCTTTGAGACATCTCAAAAGTCCCGACAGTGCTTTAGAAAGGATTGTTACACTACCGCTCAAGGAAGGCAGGGTATTTCTCTGAAAAAAAACCCAAAGCAGCCTCCGGAAATGGAAGGGAAGGATATTAGCTTGCAGCGACACTCACCATGAGAGGATACGGTCGAATTTGCCCGTCCCTGGCAGGTTGCGGTAGTCACAGAGCATGAAGTTGATTCGATCCTGGTGGTGGGGATGGGTGGATGGGGAGGGGGGGGGGGGGGTTGCAGGCGCAAGGTTAGGGATGCCTTAAGACCCCAACAGGCAGGTTGAGATAGTCACAGAGCATGAAGGTGATTCGATCCTGGTGGTGGTGGGGATGGATGGGTGACGTGGAGAGAAGTGAAGCGAGGAAGGAAGAGAAAGACGTCTAGACAGATTGTGATAGTCACAGAGCACGGAGTTGATTCGGTTCTTGTGGTTGGGAGGGGTTCAGTATCAGAACGTTTCAAACCGTGAGTCCACAGCTGTAGTCTTGCCTGGGCGCATACCTGCAGGCCTGCCGCCTTGACTCGTTCAGTGGCGAGCTGCAGCTGCTGCGAGGAGAGTGTGATGCCCGTGTAGCGACACCCTGTCAGACTGACCAGTCAGTCAGGTATGCTGCAACACCACTGATACCCAACTGCAACACCACTGATACCCAACTGTAACACCACTGATACCCAACTGTAACACCACTGATACCCAACTGTAACACCACTGATACCCAACTGTAACACCACCTTGCATGGCTTGACCACAGACCTGCAAACCTGCAGCCTTCGCTCGCTCTGTGGCGAGCTGCAGCTGCTGAGAGGAGAGCGTGATGCCCGTGTAGAGACACCCCGTGAGGCTGACCGTCTCGAGAGCCACAAAGTGCAGGATCACACCACTCCGAGGGCTTAAGAAGGTGCACACCACATGACTGGCCTGTTTGTGACTTTTGAGTCGACTCAAAAGTCTCGAGAGCCACAAAGTGTAGGATCACACCACTCTGAGGGCCTAAGAAGGTGCACACCCCATGACTGGCGTGTCTGTGTGCATACCTGCAAGCCAGCAGCCTTGACTCTCTCTGTGGCGAGTTGCAGCTGCTGCGAGGAGAGCGTGATGCCCGTGTAGCGACACCCCGTAATGCTGACCGTCTCCAGAGCCAAGCTTCCCCACCCGAACCCAATCTCAAGCACGTGGTGAGACGAGTCTATGCGCGCCTGGGGGGAGGGGATGGGTGGTAGATAGATGATACAGAAGGGTTAAGTGCACAGCAGAGCCAAGCTGCCCCACCCGAACCCGATCCTCCAGCGCGTGGTGGGAGGAGTCAACGCGCGCCTGGGAATGTATGGGATATGCATGATGTGCAACGCATGGGGTGAGGAAGGGCGAAGTGGGTTGAGAGCCAAGCTGCCCCACCCAAACCCGATCTCCAGCGCGTGGTGGGAGGAGTCTACGCGCGCCTGGAGGGGGTCATATGGCGTGATTCAGGGATGAGAAAGCGTGAGTGGGTTAGGTTGTGAGCCAAGCTGCCCCACCCCGAGCCCGATATCCAACAGGTGGTGGGACGAGTCTATGCGCGTTTGGGGCGATGGAGATTCGGATGAACCGTACATGGCGTGGCACAATGAGGGAAGGGAAGGGTTGCGTGGGCTGTTGTACGGACATTGGCAAAGGGGCAACAGCTGCGCATTCCCTTTTGCGCCGTGGCAGGAGCGTGACTCGTTATATACATTACATTCTATAACCCCTCCCACGGGAGTTGAGACGCCTTGCTGCACATTGGCAACAAGGCGCCTAAGCTTGTGCAACAGCACGTCCACCAGAAGCTAACCTTCTCTGGGATGGATCATGGATGGCGGTGGCTAAGAGCATGAAGGAACATGACCCACCTGTCCCCACCATGACAGCACACTGCAGCAAATCAGTCACCTTGGCAATGAGGCACCTCAGCTTGCGCAGCTGCGCGTCAACTAGAGGCTCCTCTGAGATGGATACACCTTGACACCCATATGTGTAACACTCGCAGAGACACACACAGAGACACACACACCATCACACCATCACACCATGGCCCCATGCCACACTCTAACCGCACCCACCTTGGCAATGAGGCGCCTCAACTTGCGCAGCTGTGCATCCACTAGCGGCTCCTCTGGTCGCTGAGCCATGCAGGCAGGGGGCGAGAGAGGAGAGAGGGCACGGGAGAACAGGGGAAGAGTGAGAAAGGAAGGAGGGTGAGAAAGGAGGGTGGGAGAGCAAAAGGGCCGGGTGATAAGAGTGGGACCAAGAAAGCACAAGACTTGGAGCAAGAGCAAGGATTGGAAGACACACGGACTTGGAAGATGGCACAACAAGAGTAGGTCATGGTTTCTTCACGGAAGGTTTGGAACATGAGCAAAGTACAGATGAAATAAGAGAAAAGTACGGATGGAAGAAGATTAAGATGTGCGTGGAATAAGAGCAATGTATGGAACACAAGCTCACTTGGAAGATGGCACAGGCGTAGGTCATGGTCTCGTCTAGGAAGGTCTGGAACAAGAAGGGTTGGGAATGCTGCGAATCAGAGAAAGGATTCACTGACATCCCCACTGCTCACCTGGAAGATGGCGCATGAGTAGGTCATGGTCTCGTCTAGGAAGGTCTGGAACATGCCGTTGCTCTGGAGGGGAGTGAGGGGGTTAGGGAGGAGGTGCGGGAGGAAGAAGATGAGAATGAGGATGAGGATGAGGATGAGGGTGACGAAGTAGGGAGTAGAAATGACGCAGTGGTATAGGAGGAAGAAAAGACGGTAAGAACAAGCTGGCATAGTTGTATGAGGATTAGGATGAGGGTGACGAAGCAGAGAGTAGAATGCCGAGAGTGGTTTGGGAGGAAGAGAAGGCGGTGAAAGGAATTGGGATAGGAGACTTCAGTTACCAGGTCACAATGGTTACCAGGTCACAGTGGTTACCAGGCCACCAGGTCATGGTGGTTACCAGGCCACCAGGTCATGGTGGTTACCAGATCATAGCGGTTTATAGGCCATGGTGGTTACCTACCAGGCCATGGTGGTTACCAGATCATGATGGATACTAGATCAGAATGGTTACACGGAGTGGCTACCAAACCAGATCAGTTACTAGGTGACGGTAATTACCAGGTCGTAGTGGTTGGAGATGTTACGCCGTGCGTTGGTGAGGTTGTTGAATCGCAACAGGTGTCTCGCATACAGAGCTGCTGACCCCACCACTGCTGTCAGCAGCGCAGGCCGCCACCACCCCCTGGTGTTTGTGGGAGGAGGAAGAAGTGGAATTTAGTTCGTGAGATAGGGAATACGAACAGAGCTAGACCAGCCGGTGCTGCCGGTAGAGCAGTGCAGTCCTCCCAGATCTCAGGCCCTGGTGGTTCTGGAGGGGGAGCAGGAGGAGAATGGATCATAGCATGTGTGTGATTGTGAAGCCAAACCCACCAGTGCTCTCAGCAATGCAACAGTACATACACAATAGTGACTTATCAAGCCCTGGTGTTTGGGGCAGGTTGGGGAGTGTTTCGACCTGGATACAAACATCAGTCGATAACGGGACAGACACGGGCGAATACAGAAACTACGAGCTGCAAGGGAGGGAGGGTACACTACTCATCACTACTCGTCCATCTGAACTATCTCATTCATTTGGTTTGACTCGCTGCTTCTTTGAAATCACTTTTGAGAAATCTCAAAAGTGATTTCCACGAGGCAGGGTGCACTACTCGTCACCACCTGTCCATCTGTACTACCATCCCATTCATTCGGTTTGACTCACTTTTTTTTTGCGGGTCGCTGGCCGGGTTGGTTGTTGCGATCCCGATTCGCAATCACGATCTGCGATTGGATAAGAGGGGAGGGAGAAGCAAAGGGGTTGGGGAAACAGGGGGGGCAGACTGTCTGGCGTGGAGATCATATTGGTGATTATCCGCAAGTTCTACTGGAGATCATATGATCTCCACGAGTTGGAGATCATAGTGTTTTATAGCTTTTCTTCTGGTGGTAGTGCAAACACATCTCGAAACCCAACTCGTGTGATTGTGCTGATCCTGATGGTGACTTTTGGCTGTGAGAAGAAGGGATCCGGCACTTTGGCTGCCAGCCATTGCATTGCATTGAAATTAGTTGTCTAGTCAACCACTTAGCAGTCATTCAGTCAGCCAGCAGCCAGCCAGAAGGTTGGCTGGACACCTCAATTCAACCTCACTCACCTCGAGGAACTTGAGGAGCCCTCTGGAAGCCTGTGGAAAAGAAGTGCCATGTCTCCATCCGCAAAGGCATCGCTTTGAGACTTTTTGACTGCAGATGTTGCAATCATTCAGTGAGACAGGAGGGGCTCACCTCGAGGAACTTGAGCAGCCCTCTGGAGCCCTGAGGGAAGGAGATGTCTCCATCCACAAAGGCATCGGCCAATCCCAGGTCAGCACGTGTTGCCACCTGCAGTACAATGGGTTGAGGGAATGCAGGTGCAGGTGAACAGGCCACAACGATGCGAGTAGGCGAAGCGAACGCAGGCGAGTGCAGGCAGGCAGGGTCATCTGACAGCCCAGCTGATGATCACACTCACTTATATTGTAGCTGATATCCTGTTCACTGATTTCACTATGATCACACACCTTCCAATAAAAAGCGGGCGAATGCACGGTCATCTGACAGTCCAGCTTGGGACCTTGTCTCCCAAACCGGTACACCGTGCCTCCTCGCTCCAACAATCTGGGAGCAGATGCAGGCGGTGAAGAGGGGTGAAGAGGGGTGAAGGAGGGTGAAGAGGAAGAACAGCACAGCCTTGGGCACATGGACATGCGCACAACTCCATATGCAGACGATTTTTGAGTCGACTCAAAAATCGTCTATGCATTATGCGACACACAGTACACAAAGGTTTCGCAGTCTCTAGGTTCACAGCAGCACCGTGCCAAGGTGAACGAAGGGGTGCAGGAAGGAGAGCGCTGCAGCCTTGGATGGCACATGCACATGAATGTGCACGCACAAGCAAAGAATTCAGGTCATTCACATCAATCCGTAGCAACGCATGAATGGAAGGAGGAGACTCACTGCACGGAGCCGAGGTGAATGAAGGGGCGCAGGAAGGAGAGCACTGCAGCCTTGGCGGCCTGAAAGTGCAGCGGGAGGAGCATCTGGGGTGTGTTGCGCTGCAGCTGCAGGGCTGGGCTGCTGCTGGCACCGAGGAGAGCGTTGGCTGCAGTCAGACCAGCCTGGGATTGACGGGTGAGGGGCAAAGAGGATGAGGGATAAATGCATGGAAGGCTGATAGTGCAGTGGGTGTGGGAGGATTATCTTGGGTGTGTTGCGCTGCAGCTGCTGCTAGAGCCAAGGAGGGCTTTTGCTGCAGTTTAGTCCGCCTGACACGCAGGAAAGGGGAGGGCGGGGAAAGGGGAGGGTGGGGAAAGGGGAGGGCGAGAGGAAGATGAAAGATGTGCAGAGGAAGATGAAAGATGTGCAGAGGAAGATGAAGGGAAACATCCAGTGCACATGCAAGGTGTGTTGTGGTGCATTTTGGAGGTGTTTTGGTGACTGTACAAGATATTATGCTGTATCTGCAATATGGTATGGTGCATGTTAAAGGTGTGTTTGAGGTGTATGTGCAAGATGGCATGCCGTATGTGCAAGCAATATGGTATGGTGCATCTGCAAGGTGCGATGGTGTATGTGCAAGGCAACGTGGCATGCCCTACACGATGAAATGTGCATGCTGCGCGCTTCTGACACTGTGCTGCATGATGCATGATGTATGATGCATGGCGCATGGTGCATGGGGCATGATTTATGATGCATGATGTATGATGCATGGCGCATGGTGCATGATATATGATGCATGATATATGATGCATGGTGCATGGTACATGGTGCATGATTTATGATGCATGATGCATGATGCACGAACATACCTTGAACCCATCTTCATGGAAGCCATATCCTGCGAGATGAAAACAGGTAGAAGAATATGGGGAAGGGAGGGGGAACGGAGAGAGGGCGAAGGTGGAGGAGAATGAGGCAGAGGCACTGAGTGGCGCAAGAGTCCTAAAATACAGGGTCGCACTGTTTGTGTGAGGCAGAGGCACTGCTTGTGTGAGGCAGGGGCACTGCTTGTGTGGAGGCAGAGGCACTGCATTGTATGTGCTGTGAGAATGTCAAGAAAAGGCTCACTCAGAGGCACCAAACGAGATATGCCCCACAAAGGAGAAAAAACCCCTCCTCCCTTGCACGGTGGGGAGCAAACGGGCAGCAGCCGTGGCAGCAGTGGTGGGGAGCGGTGGTATGCGATCCAGACTGATCATATTACTCCACGTACCGAGATATGCCCCACAGAAATAGATTCCCCTTCTTCCTTGCACGGTGGGGAGCAGTCTAGCAGCAGCCGTGGCGGCCGTGGTGGGGAGCGGATGGGAGGTAACCCACTGGTGGTGCACCATGCCCTTGATCTCCGATGGTGGGTTCAGAGTCACCAGGATGGGTTCGTCTGTGTCTCCTAGGTTCTGCAGAGAGGAGTGTGTAAGGGATGAGAGAAGGAATAAGGCAGTGAATGAGATGGCTGGGAGGTCACCCATTGATGGTGCACCATGCCCTTGATCTCCGATGGTGGGTTCAGAGTCACCAGGATGGGTTCTCCTGTGTCCCTTAGGTTCTGCAGAGAAGATAAGGGATAGACAAGGACAGGGGATGGAGGTTGGCCGCTGTGATGAGGAGTGGGTGGAAGGTGACCGTGACCCACTGGGGGTGAACCATTCCACTTTATCCAAGATGGTGGTGGGTTGAGGATCATGAGGATAGGTTCGCCTGTGTTCCATAGATTCTGCGCAGGGGGAGGTGGGGGTGCAGTGCAGGAGAAAAGGTGAGAAGAGAGTTTGGACCAGGGAGGCATGGGAGTCAAGGGAGGGATGGCAGCCAAGAGAGGGATGGGAGTAAAGGTAGGGATGGGAGTAAAGGGAGGGATGGGAGTCAAGGGAGGGATGGGAGTCAAGGGAGGGATGGGATTCAAGGGAGGGATGGGAGTCAAGGGAGGGATGGGAGTCAAGGGAGGGATGGGAGTCAAGGGAGGGATGGGAGTCAAGGGAGGGATGGGAGTCAAGGGAGGGATGGGAGTCAAGGGAGGGATGGGAGTCAAGGGAGGGATGGGAGTCAAGGGAGGGATGGGAGTCAAGGGAGGGATGGGAGTCAAGGGAGGGATGGGAGTCAAGGGAGGGATGGGAGTCAAGGGAGGGATGGGAGTCAAGGGAGGGATGGGATTCAAGGGAGGGATGGGAGTCAAGGGAGGGATGGGAGTCAAGGGAGGGATGGGAGTCAAGGGAGGGATGGGAGTCAAGGGAGGGATGGGAGTCAAGGGAGGGATGGGAGTCAAGGGAGGGATGGGAGTCAAGGGAGGGATGGGAGTCCAGGGAGGCATGGGAGTCAAGGGAGGGATGGGAGTCAAGGGAGGGATGGGAGTCCAGGGAGGCATGGGAGTCAAGGGAGGCATGGGAGGAGGGCGGGTGGGTGGGAGGAGGTCACCCACTGGGGTGCACTGTGCCTTTGATTCCAGACGGTCTCGTGCCCCCTGTATCCCGGACGATGGGTTGAGTTGAGTCGTCGAATCAAAGATCCACTGGTGGTGCACTGTGTGTGTCGTGCTTGTTGCATCCGTGACGATGGGTTGGGACTCACCAGCAGGATGGGGGTCACCCGTGCAGCACAGAGGGAGGTACACGTGCAAGGGATAGGGCAGGGCGGGGTGTCTTAGGGGATAGAGAAGGAAGAGAAGAGGAACGTGACCCCACCCTTCAAGGTGGAGTTGCAGGTGGGAGTGGATTGTGTTACTGTGAGCCACTTACCTAGCTAGCCTAGAGCGTGTGTGTCTGCACTGTCAACCACACCCACCCACCTGCAGTGGGTTGTTGAGCCAGTATGTGACGCACACCCCTCCATTCGCATTCACTCCTCTGATTTCCTTTCGAAGCATGAGAGTGTGATACTGCCCCTTGGACTTTCAAACCACACCCACCTGCGATTGTTGAGCCAGTGTGTGACGCATACCCTTGCCTTTGCATCCACTCTTCTGAAGTTCCACCTGGAGTGTGTGTGTGAGTGAGTGTATGTGTGTGTTGTGTGTGTGTGTGTGTTACTGCAGCTCAAACTCACCCACCTGCAGTGTGTTGAGCCAGTAAGTGACGCACACCCCTCCCTTGGCGTCCACTCCTCTGAAATTCCACGCACTCCAGGCGGCCCTTCTCGTGGGCATGAGGGACTTATCTCGATGCAGAAAGATGGTGCTGCAGGAGGAGGAGAGTGGGAGTGGATGGAGGGGGAAGGGTGGGGCGTAATGCAATTAGGTCATATCCCTGGCAAGTGTCACGAGTGGTTAGTGGTGTCATGACACCAACTCGGAAAACACAGGGAGGACTACTCCTCCCAGTGTCAGCTAAACCGACCAATGAGATCGTGGGAAATCTCCCAATGTGCCCAGCATTGACACCAGGCTGGAGCCGCGTGCGGGCGCGGCTCCACCTCGCTTTTGAGTCAACTCAAAAGGCGCGGCTCCACCTCGTGTCAAGTGCGTTTGGCGTCTGACACCAACCACATCTTGACACTAGAGTTTTGAGACGTCTCAAAACTCTACTTTTATCGTTTGGCATCTGACAACACCAACCGCATCTTGGCACTAGCCAGCGATACGACCTTAGAGGCATGGTCACTCCATGCTGATAGAGGGCATGTGGGACTTGTCATGATGCAGAAAGGTGGTGCTGGTTGGAAAGGGCAGGGGGGAACAAGGGGAGGGCGAGTCGGGAGCAAAGAAAGGCAGATTGGGCAGTAAGGAGGCACAGTCGCATTTAGCGGCCCTCCGAGCGAGCCATAAGACACTTGTCGCGATGCTAGAAGATGTTGTGAGTGCAGGGAAGGGGTGGAGGAGGAGTTGGTGCAGGAGGGGTTTGGAAGGAGTGGGAAAGGGTTAGGTATGAAAAGCTTACAGTGCAGTTCCCCAGGAGTGACGTCACAAGTGTAGTTCCCCAGGAGTGACGTCACAAGTGTAGTTCCCCAGGAGTGACGTCACAAGTGTAGTTCCCCAGGAGTGACGTCACAAGTGTAGTGTACCTGGTGATGTCTTTGAACGTAGAAAACACCCCCCTATCCTCATGTGTGGCTCCTTCCCCCAGAAGTGGCAGCACAGCATCCCAAGCGGCACCTTTTCAGACGTCTCGAGAGAAAATGCTACAGGAATGGTCTCAATATCTGAGGGTTCTGAAGTGCACCTGGTGGCGTATTTGAAGGCGGAGAATACCCTCCGTTCCTCGTGCGTGGCCCCTTCCCCCAACAGGATGCTTTTGAGGCGCCTCAACAAGGATGCTGCACGGGTGATTGAAAAAGACCTCAAGTGCATCTATCTACCTGGTGGCGTATTTGAAGGCAGAGAATACCCGCCGTTCCTCATGCATGGCTCCTTCCCCCAGCAGCGGCAGCACGGTATCGCCATGCACTGCCAGCACCACCCGGTCGTAGCGCTCTGATGTTCCGTCCCCTAAACGCACTTCCACAGCTGTGGACAGGGACAGACGAGGAGGGATGGGGAAGAGGGAAGAGTGAGTAAAGCAAGAGCGTCGCGCCACGCCATGCACCACCAGCAGCACCTCCCGGTCGTAGCGCTCCGATGCTGAGTTCCTCACCTCTCCACGTTACGTTGAGCATTACACCTCGCAACTCCCACCATCACACCTCTCACCTCCCAGATGTGAAAACCTCCCTCCCAGCATTACATCTCTTTCTCACCTTCCTCGCCCAGGCTCTGCACCCCAGTCACTTCCGTGTTGGTGCGGAAGGCACCCCCTCGGGCTTCCACGGCCGCCATCACCTGTGGGGAACAGCGGGAGACGAACATTCTTGGGCCGAACACTCAAACACCCCATATGGTGGTCGACAACTCACAGGAAGAATGTCCGAAGAACTGTTAACACTCAAACACCCCATAAGGTGGTCGACAACTAGTGTTCAACCGGAACATGTTCGTGTTTGGGTTCTGGCGATCGCTAGTTCTGGTGTATGTGTGGGTGCTGTGCGGTGCATTACCTTCTTCACGTACATCTGGGATCTGCTGTTGTGGTCCGGCAAGCAGATGGGAGGATGACGTTTGAGTCTACCCATAATTCATATTGAGCCGACTCAAAAGCCATCTAAGCTCAGGCTGGTGTGTGTGTGTGTGTGTGTGTGTGTGTGTGTGTGTGTGTGTGTGCTTACCTTCTTCACGTAGGTCTGGGATCTCCCTGAGACAGTCAGCCATTGTGGTCTGCCAAGCAGCTGGAGTGGGGAGAGAGCAGAAATTTAGGTTAGGGATAAGGGTAAGGTGAGCATGGAGCACAAGAACAGACGGTAGGCATGGGTTGAAAAACGGATCCCAGGAATGTGGATAACGGTGATCCTAGGGGAGAGATGGAAGTTTTGAGACGTCTCAAAAAAAGGTAAGTGCAAGAAGCGTTAAAAGGCACGTGTAGAAAGTAGATTTTCTCAAAAATCTACTTTCTAAAAAAGGTAAGTGCAAGAAGCGTTAAAAGGAGGAAAGACTCAGCAACGGAAGCAGCAACAGACCTGCAGGACGTGGTTGTGCATCTAACGAACATGCATGCTGCAGCACGTGCAACAAGTGGTGCTGCTGATAACGAACCTGCAGCCTTCGGTAGTGCTTACAACGAACAGCATGTAGTGAAACTAATAACGAACCTGCAACATTGTTTTGTGGTGCTTATAACGAACCTGCACCATATGATGGCTGCTCTTATAACGCACCTGCAGCATGTGGTGGTTCTTGAGGAAGGAAAGCACGGAGAAGGCGTTGAAGCTCCTGGCGCCATCTATCCCGGTTGACCATATAGAGGCGCACACTGGGAGCTGAGAATAGGGAAAAGGAAGAGAAAGGGGGGAAGGAGAAGCGGAGTGGGACGGGGTGTGCCACGTGTGAAAACGAAACAGAACAGGCATTGAAGCTCCTGGAGTCGTCTATCCAGGTAGACCATATAGAGGCGCACACAGGGAGCTGTGACAAAGGGTAAAAAATAGGTGAAGAGGAAACAGAATGGGCATGAAGCTCCTGGCTCCATCCACCCTGGTTGACCGTATGGGCCCGCACACAGGGAGCTGAGACACAGGGAAAAGTACAGGTGAGGGGAAGGGGAAGTAAATGTGGGGTTAGTATGTGGTCGGAGACTGGGAGACAGAGAGTGCCATCCACCCCGTTTGGCCAGATAAAGGCACACACAGGGATCTGAGAAGAAGGAAATGGAAGAGAAAAGGGGGGAGGAAGAAGTGGCGCGATGTGTGCCACGTGGGAACACAGATATTAGGAGTTAGAGGGGAAACAGAACGGGCGTCGAAGCCCCTGGTAGACTATATAGAGGCGCACGCACATGGGGGGCTGAGAGCAGCGAGAAGGAAGAGAAAGAGTGCTGAGTGTGCGGACACAGAGACTGGGAGACAGAGAGGAACAGAGTATGCATAGACGGACGTTGCTCCATCCACCTCAGAAGGTAGCGATTGAACGTTCACAGGCCGAGATTCAGTTCTTCCAGCCAAAGGCTTGATCCAGCATTGGCCTACCCTAATGGGCAGAACCAAGGGGATTGGAAAGACTGACCAGGTAGAAATCGCAGAACATGGAGGAATACCCATTACACTAGGCTTCCTTCACTCACTTAACCTTCATTCACCAGGAAAACAACTGTCACACTGACCAGGTAGCAGTCGCAGAACATGGAGGAATACTCCCGGTCCTTCACGACCAGCCCCAACGTCTTTGTGACCAGCGCGTTGCTGCCTGCTGGTGTTGCTACGCTGGCCCATTCAAACTAGGCTTCCTTCACTCCCTTAACCTTCATTCACCAGGAAAACAACTGTCACACTGACCAGGTAGCAGTCGCAGAACATGGAGGAGTAGCCGCGGTCCTTCAGGAACTGCCCCAACGTCTCTGTGAGTAGGTCGCTGCTGCCTGCTGGTGTCGCTGGTGATGGTACGGCGCCGTTGCTGCTACTGCTGCCGTTGAGCACAACTGACTGCCTCTGCAGCACTCCGGAGGCTTCGACTTTGGCGAGGTACCTGTGGGAAGGAGGGAAGGAGCGACAACAAATAGGAGCGCAATTCAGGATGTATCGTTGAGCACAACTGACTGCCTCTGCAGCACTCCGGAGGCTTCCACCTTGGTGAGGTAGCTGCGGGAAGGAAGGGAGGGAGTGACAGATAGAAGCACAATTTAGAATCGCAAGGAACGTCTAGGCGCCTGTGAAATTGTCTCACCATGTGTCGTTGAGAGCAGCTGATTGCCTGCAACACCCCAGAGGCTTCGACATTGGCGAGGTAGCTGCGGGAAGGAAGAAAGGAAGATGCGGGGTGTTCAGTTCAGGATTAAAGGAAAAAATGGAAACGCTTTGAGATCATGAACTGACTCATCATGTGCTCTGGATGGTAACTGACTGCCTTTGCAGCACTCCAGACGCTTGCACCTTGGGGTTCTTACTAACGCAGTGAAGCCGAAACATGGTGTGCAACAGACCCGTGCAGCATGTAACTGTGTGAAGTGGGCTATCAGCAGCAAAAGGGTCTTACTTGAGCAAGTCCTGGTGGAAAACCGTCATCTTGCGCAGAATGAGCCAGAAGGAGGGCCGGAAGGCTTTTCTTGGCGCACAATAACACTGCTACGCACCTCACCTGTGAAGCCTGTATCCACCGTACAGTGCAGTGCAGTGCGCTATCAGCAGCAAAACGGCCTTACCCGAGCAAGTCCTGGTGGAAAACCGTCATCTCGCGCAGCATGAACCAGAAGGACGGCCGGAAGGCATTGCGACGTGACATACGTGTCATGAATGCAACATTCCTGTGGATGGATCATGGAAACTATGCAATGTGCCACTCACTTGAGCACGTCTTGATGGAAAACAGTCATCTCGCGCAGCATGAGCCAGAAGGAAGGCCGGAAGGCGTTGCTACGCACATGCTATGAATGCGGCATACCTGTGGATGGCTCATGGAAGCTATGCACTGTGCCACTTACTTGAGAACATCTTCATGGAAAACCGTCATCTCTCGCAGCATGAGCCAGAAGGAGGGCCGGAAGGCGTTGCGGCGCGAAGCAAAGAGGCCGGAGAGGCCGTTGCTGCCCCACTCGCAGCGCGGTACCGACACTGAAAAGGACATGTCGGAGGGCTCTATTGCCACCTCTAGTTCCTCGAAGAAGGAGAGCATGTTGGGGTAGGTCACCTGGTAGAGCGGGTGGGGGAGGGGGGGGAGGAGAGGGAGGTGGGGAGGGAACTGACACCAAGAAGGACATGTCGGGTGGATCGATTACGACCTTAAATTCCTCAAAGAAGGAGAGCATGTTGGGGTATGTCACCTGGAGTTGGGGTGGGGGGGAAGGAAGGGAGGAGGCGTGGGGGGAGAGGGGGGATGGAGAGAGGACACAGGCACAGAGGAAGAAGGTGAAATGTATGAAGAGGGACAGTCACAGGTGACTCAAACTTCTCATGGGTGACTCAAATCAACTTCCCATGTCAAATGCATGTAGTCGGTAATAGTCCAGAGTAGAAAGCGAGAAAACCAGTCCCGATGTGCAACCACCAACGGCTTGGCAGAACGACATTCTCAAAAGCAATGCCATATCGACATGCTTCCTCCGACTGTTTTCAGACGTTCGGGCGGGTTCAGAGAAAATTAGTGTCGTCGCAGGGATGAGAATGTGGCTAAGGGGGGCTATTCGTATGATATGATAAAGGCCAATCACTTTGACGAGGCCACTCGTATCTGTTGAGATCCCTTAGTTTCTGACCACGCCACTGCTATCCGATGACGGTATTCCGCTCTGAACCGGCGCATTTCAGCGCGTCGATGCACGACATGTGACTGCGAAGAGCCACATTGGTTTCAGGGGCTGGCATTCCACCATGGTTGTATCCAAGTTCATCAGGCAACTTCCAAAGGATCAGATCATTCCTCTCACAGAATGGCGTTTCTTCATAAGATCACATCACGTCACTAGGGCACCCCACTTCTCAAGATCACGCCATGTCATGCGATCACGCCTCGTCACAAGATCACGCCACGTCACGCCGGACGCACCGAGTTGAAGACCATGAATCCGAGGTCCACGTCGACGTCATCGTCCGTGCGATACGTGAACGCGTGGCCGCCAATGTGCGAGTCTTTCTCCAATACCGTCACCTGTACCCCCTGTTTGCTCAGTCGCCATGCCGCTGCGAGCCCGGCGACGCCTGACCCAACCACAGCCACTTTCATCGTGTACAGCCGCTTCTACTCCCGGGGATCAGAATGTTGCGTGCTTTTTTTTGAGAAAGAGTCTCGTTCTCATGGAATGGCGACGGAACCACCACTTGAACCTCAGCTCGAAGTGCCAGGAAGGAGAGCTCCTGGGGCTTCTTGAAAATGGCTGTTGAAGCGTAAAAGTGCTATCTCGAAAATAGCCATTGTGATGACCTCAAGGGGTGCGGGCGACTTTGCATGCGAATCTAAGGCTGGTAACGAGCAAGTTCGAGAAGTGGCTTGAGGCCAAAATGGGATTTCGTGACTAGCGACGCTGGAAACCAGTGTCGCGAATCAATAATGGTGGAGGCGGATCCACGTGGAGAAGCACCACTGGTCTGTATGACGTCAGCTACAGAGATTCTCGGAAGTCTGGAGCATGTTGACAACATCGACTACCCAAAAAGCCGTTGGGCTTGTACCGCATTCCTAAACATTTACGACCGTCAATACACTGTGCGACGTTGTTGACCAAACCTGCCAAACTATTTGAAACAATATTGCAGATTACAACTGCAATCCATTCTATAAAGGTTCCACGATTTTTATCCCTAGTCTAAACAACATGTTAGCATAGAGCAAGTGCAGAAGTGACTGGTTTACATTCCAGTTGCAGATCCAAAAAGAGTCATACCATAAATCAAGCCCACCCTAACCAACTGACAAGAATGGGCACCTATGAATAGACAGAACCACAACACCTAGAAACCGAACAGGCCAAGCTCGGAGGCCCTCTCCTTGTCAAACATCTCGAAGTACTGATAGATGATGGTCACAGCGAGGAGAATTCCCGTGCCAGAGCCAATGGCACCCATGAAGTCCGCAACAACAGTCAGTGCACCGATGCACATCCCACCAAAAGCAGCGGCTGTGGGGATGTAACGGTTGAGCTCCTTCTGCAGGTTGGATTCACGATGACCAGGCATCACCATTTGTTGCTCCTGCATACAAAAGGAACCAGTGGAGGAGGAATCAAGAGAACAGCAGAACCATACGACATTAAGGACAGAGGGAACCAGCATGTTGATAACGAGGAAGAACAGGGGGTGGGCAAGGGAGCAGAGAAGCGGGGAAAGTTGGCGGAGGTGGGTGGGGGTGTGGGGGGCATGGATAAGGTTGTGAGCTGGTTATGCCGTCAAATCGTTATTAATTTCAGCTGCACATCCCAATGCAGTGGTGTAAGGACCTTCCGGGGATTTTAAGGTGAGAGTCTCAAAACAAGTGAAAAAAGGTGACCGCGTGTCAGACAACCAGACAGCATGCTCAATCACAACCTTTCCTTGAGTTATGCTCAATGCCCAGACTTCGTGAGCTAAGCTGGACAACCAGGATAATCTTGATGCCTCCATGGAGCAAAAGACCTGTCAGCTCATTCTTGTTAGACGTGGGTGTTCCTATCAGCCAACGTCCAAAATTTCCACTTACGGAACTCTGGTTAAAAACTATGGCTTCCTAGCACGTCCCAGATTCATCCCCTGCGGCCAATCCTATAGAGCTTCGGATATTAGGTACTGCCTCTATTCTTGAACCTCAGGGTGTCCAGCCCACTCTCCCAAATTAATCTCGTCACAGAGAAAACATTTCTCACCTTGAGTTGCTTCGCCACGTCGCGCGCAGACGACCCTGAGACCTCGATCCACGTCTTGGAGAAGAGCGCACAGGCCGAGAGCATGAATGTAATGTAGAAGAGCGCGTGGAAGGGATGCACCGCAATGTCCGCCAAGCTGCTCGGAACGGAGGTAATTAAGACACTGGTCAGATCATGTAACGTCAACTTGAATTTTCCGCACGCATTATATGCAAAAAACACGATTTGAAGGAATGTAATGTGAAAATTTGTCAAGTGGAGAAAGTAGCGACAATGATATCAACAACAATGGAAAGAGACACTAACCTCGCTGGAGGGGTCATGTAATAGACAAGTCCGCCGACAGGAATGAGCTGGCCCGAACTTGAATATTCCGATTCAGCCCACACACCAAGAAGGCGCACCAGGATGAAACCGCCATACCTCCGATAAAGCAGCTGTGTATAGGCACAGACATCAACAACACAATCACGCATCTAGATAAGACTACGGAAACAACCACCGAAGCCAAACCCTGCGACCAGAAAGAAACGTAAAAACGATATCTAGCAGGATAGCAATCCAATTTTCCCCTGCTGAACCCTAAACGCACCTGCGAGATAAAATAAAGGTTGGAGACGAGAGCCGACTGCAGAATAATGGGCATGTTCGAGGTGTAAAAGAGCTTGATGGGGTACGAGCCCTGCTGTCCCCTAGCGCTCTTAGAACGAACAGGGAGCACAACGCGGAAGCCCTGGAAGTAGATCACGATGAGGAAGACGAGCACGGTGGCTAGGAGGTTGGTGACGTTTGGCAGGTTCTGCCGGTAGAAGGCCTCCTTGAGCGCGCGGACTTTGTCGGTCCGGGTGATGAGCAGGTGGAAGAGAGCGATCACGGCTCCCTCGAACTCGGCGCCACGGCCAGCGTTGATGGTCGTAGGGCTGAATGCCTTCCAGATGATGCTTTCACTGCGGTAATAAGAAGTAACAACAAATTTAAACAAAAAAAGGGGGTTTTTTTAGGTTAAAATATGTTATGGAACACTGGGAATTTAGGCGAGGCAGATTTGGATGTATGAACATACAATGTTTTCATCAGAAGTCGACAATGTGAATAACGTAACTGTCAGCTGAGCAAAAACAAGCGTCGACGTACCAGATGTTCGTAGCGATGAAGAGAGAAATTCCAGATCCAAGGCCGTATCCCTTCTGCAGGAGCTCGTCGAGGCAGATGATGATGATGCCGGCGAAGAAAAGCTGCACGATGATCAGAATCGCATTGGTCGCACCCAGATCGCGCACATCGCCGTACATTCCCGAAACGACGTATGCGACAGCTTCTCCGACAGTGATGAGCACTCCCAGGAGCTTCTGAGCTCCATTGCTGGAAAAGAACCAGCAATAAAAACATCTTCAGGTTTTTATGTTACAGCAGATCCGGATACGCGCAGCGAAAAGATCCGCGATGGAAGATCATATTCGATGTATGACGCCAAGAGACGTCAAGCCTCTAATCTGACCCTAACAGTTTCACAGTAATTTTTGTTCCAATGTCAAGAAACCATTCCGCTACTTACATCAATTCTCTATCTTCCTTGATGCTGTTATCCACCTCGATCAGCTTCGACCCTACAAGAAGCTGAATCACCATGCTGGATGTGACAATGGGAGTAATTCCCAGCTCCATGACAGTACCCCGGTTGGACGCCATAATAACACGCATCCAGTAGAACGGATCTGATCCTGTGGCTGCGTGGATGCCATAGAGGGGAAGCTGACTGCAGACCAGAAAGATAAAGAGCGACACGGCGGTGTAAAGAAACTTCTCTCTAAACGGCACTTTCCGATCTGCCGTCTGCACCTCCGGCAGAAGGTTCAGAAACGGCCGGACGAGATGCAGAACTCTAAAGCCACCACCCATGGTTCCTAGTCACAAGCACCTAGCACCTAAGATTTCAAATCCCGCAATGGAGACCTTCGAATGAGATAAGAAGAATGAGCGGAAAACTGACCAACTAATTCAAGAACTGACAGGATCCAGATTTGAGAAACGCGTTCAGATGGGATGAGGAGAAATCTAGGCCTGGGTGGAGGGAAGGGAAGAAAATGACCGACCGATTCATTTGCTGGTGGTTGGGTTGGAACAGTGGGCGTGACAGGCACTGGAAGTGGGAGTCTAGTTGGAGGGAACTGGGTTGGTGCTGTAAGTTGGGAAGCGCAAACGACACTCGTTGGTACTTCTACGATTAAAGCACTAAAAAATATCGTACAATGTGATTAAATGTTACAGGTGAAATTAGTCTAGGTAGCGAGGATTGCACTAGAGTGTTCAATGAGTACAAAGTCAGAAGAATGAACGAGAATGAATCAACTGTGAAAGAGTTGGGTACAAGTACTAAACCTAATTGGGTTGTACCCCTTATGGGCTGTTGGGCTGAAAAAAAACCCTTTAGGATCTTTTCAAGGCTAGGACATGAAGTAGAGATGTTGTAATTGCGGAAGCGTATAATAAATTTGTTGAACCACCTTGCACTAGTATGTGAGAGCAATAGATTGATTATAGCAAGGTAATACAAAGGCTTTTATAAGATTACAAGAAATACGAAAGGGTGCAACTAACTGTTTTGTTGTTGCGGTTCGATCAGTGACGACTCGGGCAACTGCTCAATGCCGAGTCAGTTGTTTGTCGAGTCAAAGGTCGCTGACCTTTGACCTTCGCGTAACCTCCAGCTATTACTTTCTGTCAACCTCCTCGGTTGACTCGCCATTGCTCCGCTGTGATTCGCCTCGTTTGTAGTCTATTGTTTCGACACAACATGAGCGTTAAATTGCTTGTTTCCAACACTCCCCTTCGCTTCTGGAGTGCCGCTGCTGATGACGTGGCCTTGTCCAGTCAGCAGCATGCAATACTCAAACTTCTACTTTCCGAGTTTCTTGGTCAAGTAGTCTGCTGCCATCTCGGACGTGGGACAGTAGGATAGCTCGAGTGTTCCTTTCTCGGTCTCGTCCTTCACGAAGAAATACCGAAGGGCAATGTGCTTCGTTCGATTCGCGAACCCGCTCTTGTTCGCTATGCGAATTGCGGATTGATTGTAACTGAGCCATCTTTGCTTCTTCCATCAGTTCGCGAAGATATAATCCTTCCTTGGTGGTTGAGCAGAGTGCGATGTATTCTGCTTCAGCTAAGGAGAGAGCTATTAGCTCTTGCTTTTTCGACTGCCATGAAATGGGGCCGATAGGTTCGAGTCGGTAGTGTGAGAGTTTAACGAGAAGAATGGATGAAACTAGAAAGGAGATGGGTACAAGTAGAAAACACAAAAGTGTTGTACCCTCTAAGGACTACCCCACTACAGCCTAAACAGACTATAGCATATATAAGTTTGACACACCCCCATAGGCAAAGTGGGGGAGAACAAGGGGTCACAAGACCAGTCAAGAAGGCAAAGCAAGCTCAGGGTGGATCACAAAGTCACCACGCAGTCTGAGCACAAGTAAAGGGCCACAAGGCCAGTTCACATGCAGAGTTATATAAAGGAAAGCAAACAATACAGTGAGCACAACCTAGTAAGTGTAAGCATGCAGGTATAAGTATATAGAGTACAGTACAAGCAGAGTCAAGAAGTCAGCAAGTGAGGCACAGTAGGTACAAGGCCTAACACAGTACAGAAACGCTGATGATCACAAGGCTGAAGTGCCTTGGTAAAAACATCAGCAGTGTTGGCCTGAGAGGCCACGTAAGCAAGACGAAGCTGGCCACGCTGCTGCAACTCTCGAGCAACGAAGTAGCGCAGAGCAATGTGCTTCGTTCTGTGCTCCAATCTGTGCTCCTGACACAAGGCCAGCATGGCCTTGTTGTCGACGTACAGAACTGGAGGAGAACGAGGCGCCTCTCCCAAGTCGGTCAGCAGGTAGGTGAGCCAGCGTAGCTCCTGTGCAGCCATGGCCCCAGCGTAGATCTCAGCCTCACAACTCGAGCTGAGAACAGAAGAAGAGCGGGTAGACCGCCAAGAGACAGAACCGGAGCCAAGACTGAAGGTGTAACCCTGTGACGACCGCTGCGTAGCCAAGTCGTCAACCCAGGAGGCGTCAGCGTGACCAGTGAGGACAACTCGAGCCCGTCCTCCAAGCACGAGCCCCATGCCCGATGTACTGCACAAGTATCGCAACACCCTCTTCGCAGCATCCCAGTGCACCTTTCGGTGCCTGCCGGGAGCCACGTAGCGAGCCAGAAGGCTGAGAGGGTATGCGAGGTCAGGTCGTGTGCAAGTCATCAGGTACATGAGGCAGCCCACAAGCTCTGGATACGGGCCACTCGGCTCTACGGACTCGTCCGAAGGTGGAGCTGAGAGCGAGTGACCGGTAGGCAGAGGAGTGGACTGTGGCGAGGAGTACGTAAAGCCGAAGTGCTGAAGGACCTGCTGCACCATATGTGACTGAGTCAAAGTAATGGTGCGCTGTGCTCTGTCCCGGGTGATCCGCAAGCCAAGATAGCTTGTCAGCTCACCCAGGTCTGTGCACGTGTGTCTCTTCTGCAGCTTGGACTTTAAGTGGGCGAGTGCCTTAGTGTCAGCGGTAGCAAAGACGAGGTCGTCTACGTACACGAGAACGTAGAACGGTGGCAGAGTAGTGTCAGTGCGTAAGAACAGAGAAGGGTCAGAAGTGGAAGGAGCAAAACCAAGAGCAGCAAGAGTCGTCCTGAGTGTGTCGTGCCACTCACGAGGTGCCTGGCGGAGACCGTAGACTGGCCGCCGGAGGCTCCACTGGGTACCAGCTGGAAACGACCCAGTGAAGCCAGGTGGGCGGCGCAGCCAGATCTCCTCGTGCAGGCTACCCTGTAGGAAGGCTGTGCTGAAGTCAAGCGAGTGGAGCTCGTAGTCACGCTGAGCAGCTACGTGCAGCAGTACCCGAAGAGTGGTCATCTTCGGGGTAGGGGAGAAGGTCTGAAAGAAGTCAACTCCCTGTCGCTGACTGAAGCCACGAGCAACGTAACGCGCCTTGAAGACAGGCGGAGAGCCCGGCGGCCGCTTCACCCTGAAGATCCACATGCCACTGACGATGTTCGCCCCAGGCGGGGGAACGTCGTCGACGTAGGTGCCTGTGGACTTCCAGGAAGCCACCTCGGCGTCCATGGCTGCCTGCCACTGAGAGGAGTAGGGACCCTCTATCGCCTCTGCGTAAGAGCGCGGGGTCGGGATGTCTGGTGCATCCGGGTCTCCCTCAGGGGCAAGCAGCATGGACACGAGATGAGGTACAGAAGCAGCAAAGCACTCAAACTCGTCCTGTCTGTCCTCAAGAACGTCCGTGCCAAGAGCACACTCACCCCCGACGGACGGAGGACAGACAGACACAGACGCAGACTCAGTAACAAGACGAGCGGCGTAGTCTAGGCGACAGGCTGCAGCAAAGTCAACAAGCTCAGCAACAAGAGCAGACGCAGCAGTGGACTCAAACAAAGGGTCAGTGACAGCAGTGGCCAGAAAATGCGTGACAGCTGGACTAGAAGCACGTAGGGAGTCAGACGCAGGGTCCGGACCGGCAGGAAGAGAGGACGCAGGAGGAGACGGCAGAGGGACACGCTGTGGAGCAGTGGTAGGACGCAGAGTCATAGAGTGAGTGCCAGGGACATGAGGAGGACGCGGACGCGAAACACAACCAGCGCGAACAGGACGGACAGGCGACGCAGGACGAGACTCAGGCTCACGACGCTCCGTAAGACCACTAGTCGGTCCAGAGTAAGGAGAAAGACCAGGCAGTGGAGAGGCTGGCTGAAACCGCGGCTGGGACTAGACAGGCGGTGGACTCAGTAAAGGAGGAGGAGGAGGACCAGGAGAAGGTGGGGAGCCAAGAACCTGCTGAAGAAGCGGAACGTAGTACGGCTGCGGCCGCACAGCACCTCCAGAAACAGCAGAGACAGAACCTGTACCCTCAGCCCCAGGGTCTCCAGTCCCAGCAGCACCTCCAGCAGCTCCAGCACCAGCAGCACCTCCAGCAGCTCCAGCACCAACACCACCTCCAGCAGCTCCAGCACCAGCAGCACCTCCAGCACCAGCAGCACCTCCAGCAGCACCAGCACCAGCAGCACCTCCAGAAGCCCCAGCAACACCCCCAGAACCAGTAGCACCTCCAGTAACACCAGCACCAGCAGCACCTCCAGTAACTCCAGCAGGACCTCCAGCTCCAGCAGCACCACCAGAAGCACCAGCAGTACCCCCAGCACCAGTAGCACCACCAGCAGCACCAGCACAAGCAGCACCTCCTGAAGCTCCAGCAGCACCTCCAGTACCAGCAGCACCTCCAGAAGCTCCAGCAGGACC